GACAGGCTGTTTTTTGGCTGAAAAAAAGGGTTGAACACGTCATCGAGGGACCCCTCCGGAATTGTGCTAAGTGTAGGCTTAGGTTCCGGTTGCTGTGGTTTTCTTGACCTTAGTTTGGAGCATTCTCTTGAATTACACGTAGGTTATCAGCCGTAGGCTAGCTCGTAAAGGGTTTTGGGTGCTTAAGATATAGTGGGCTTCTCCTGCTGCCGGCAATGGACACTGTCTCAAGGAGACGGCGAAGTCAACCTGTTGGTGAGCTTGAAGCTGAGGCGGCCGCCAGAGACCTCGCATATCAAACAGCCTTGAGCCAAACAGGGATAACTGGTCAAGTTCCCGGAGGAATTTGTGCTGGGGAAGCATCCCCCGGTACCCTGGAGTCTGGGGGCGTAGTCGGCCAGAGTGGGTTAGAGCAGTTACCCGTGGCTAACCCGTTTCACTCTGAGAGAGTGAAGCAGGAAGTCAATCTTATTCGTAGCCGGCCAACGACGTTGGACACGGATGCAGCAAGGTTTCATGGAGAAGTAGATGAAGCAGCATTGGGTGACTCCTGGACCGGAGGTGTAGGGGAACCGGATTATTCTGCGATGTTGGGGCAACCTACAACGGAGCGTGAGGCCCCTAGAGTGGCTAGGGTTGAGCCATCAGCTGCGGGACAGCCTGCCAGTGTGGTTGGGAATGCAGTCGAAGGCGACACCAGGCTGTCAGGAAGCAAGCCGGGGATGATACCTGAGTCTGGAATGGGGCTACGAGAGGAAAGGACTGGGGGAGAGACCGATTCTCCCCTTGTCGCTGGAGAACCAGAAGCTGGATGTGTGGATGACCCTCGTGAACTGATACCCGCCAGCGCGGATAGGCTCACCAGGGTGGAGATGCTGTTGACGCAGGTTCTCGAGGAGAACCAAGTCCTGCGGCGGCAGATTCAGGCGGAGTCGCACTCCAGCTACCATAGTACCAGGACTCCGGCGGACCTCTCATTGTCACCGATGTCTTTTGGCCTGGGCTCTCGTTTTCCTGAGGCGATGCCAACATCCCCTTATGGTGTACAGTCGGTAGATCATGGTGTGCCTCGCGAGTTTCCGGGTACCTTTGGAAGGTTTAGGGCTTTGGAGTACGGGCCGGGGGTTGAGAGTATCCCAGGGCAGCAGCATTCCTTTGCAAGAGCAAGGCCTCATCAGGTACCTACTGTCGGAATGGGTGGGTTGATTCAGGGAGACTTTGAACCAGGGTTGAGTTCCGGAGTAGTAGGGCCTGAACCTCAACCGGTACCACCACCTGTAGTCCCACTTGTAATACCCACCGCTTCCGAGGTCCCAAGCATCCCTCAAACCATGAGACAGTTTGCCTCTGTAGCCTTGCAATCCGGAACTGACCAAGGGGAGCAGGGTTACCACACTCCAAGGTCAGGGGCTGGAGTTTCAGGTAGGTTTGATGCTGAAGGTTACCCTGTGTCTCCTGGCGGAACCAGTATTAAGCCTCCTGCCCTACCACCGCCACCCTCCGCCTATGACTACGGGTGGCCGATGCATCGTGGAGCTGGGGCTTGCCAAGGCGCGACCGTAGGGGCCGGGTTTCCTCCGCCAGGGTTTGGAGGGCAGGGTGTCGTAGAAAGGCCTGAAGAGCCTGCTAAGTATATTGACTCCTTACCAAAGTTGGCTCAGGCGGATTTATCTATCTCCGCGGTAACTTGTGGGAATTGGTTGGCTCAGGTTAAGCAAATCTTTGTGGGATTGTCACCAAGTGCAGTGGAATGGTACGATAGCGTTGAAGCGGCGGCTTATGGGGCTTACAATCGTTGGTTGGTGGCAGATCCTTTGGGTAGGTTGGCGGTTGATCCTAGTTCCGTTGTAGCAGGGTTTAACGTACAGAAGTTTCAACGAGTAGAGTCTCGCGCCGTGACGCTGCTGTTAGCAGCTTTGCCTGCGTCTGTAAAGGACGATCTGGTGATGAATAGGTGGTTGAGTTCCTCTTCCATCTTGTTTCGGGTTCTGTGCATCTGGCAGCCGGGAGGAAGTAACGAACGGGCTCACCTTCTGTCACAGTTGGTTCAGCCGGAAGCGTGTAAGGGGTTTAAGGAAGCACTTCCCACGCTGCGACGATGGCAGCAGAACCTGCAGCGTGCGCGTGAAATACACGCTACGCTACCAGACCCTTCATTACTTCTTCGTGGTATAGACCAAGCGACGTCAGCTATCTTAAGTTCCTCGCCTATGATTGCCTTTAGGGTCAATGCGTTTAGGCATCGTTCAGGGCTTGATTACAATCCGTCGGTTGTAGGGATCGTGCAGCTCGTACGTTTGATCCAGGCGGAGTTTGAGGCGGCGTCGCTAGTGACTGAAGGGAACCCTGAAAAGAGACCTCGTAGTGCCGCAGCAGTTGTTCCCCCACCTAAGGCTGAAGCTCCGAACCCTCCTCCGCCCAGACCTAGTGCCGAGGTCCCTCCAGCTGTTGCGAAGGTTCAGCAAGGGGAAGGGGATGTAAAGGGAGGAAAGGCTAAGGGCAAAGGCAAGGGAGAAGGGGGCTCTGAGAAGCTGTGTCATAAGTTTACGGATTCGGCCGGTTGTAGGTATGGTGATAGCTGTATCTTTAAGCATGACAGGGCAAAAGCCCGTAAAGAGGGTCGTTGCCTTGCTTGTGGACAAAGTGGACACTTTCGTCCAGAGTGCCCGAATGTGGCGCCGGAGAACCGTGCGGTTCAGGATAGCGGGTCCGATACGTCGCCGGGAGCTTCTTCTGGACCGGGCGTTAGGCCGGCGGTGAAGGGTAAGGCGAAGGCGAAGGCTGGGGTTTCTAAAGGGGTCATCGAGGAGAGCCCGAAGGGGGAAGCTCCAGCTAGTGTTCCGTCGTCTGGGGGCGGAGGTTCGGCTTCTCCCACCAGCCCGGAGGCGCTGGTGGCGGAAGCAGCCAAGCTGTTGAAGGGTGTGTCTTTGAGGCCTATTCGTTTGGAAGATGTGGATTTATCCTGGGTCAACAGTGCTCTGACCTCCGCTTCGGATCCCGATTATTGTCTTATCGACAGCGGAGCAACCAATGCTCTACGCCCGGCGAAGCCGGAAGAGCTACTGGAGTGTCGTAAGATCAGGGTGGATTTAGCCTCCGGTGAGGCTGAGCTCAGCATCAATAATCAGGGGACTTTGTTACATGGCGGAGGTTGCCAAGTGATTCTTCCTGCGAACTATCTCATTGAATTGGGGTATACGATAGCCTGGCGTAAGAAGGGCTGTAGGGTGAAGCATCCTCGGAAGGGCTCTTTGGAAGTCACTTTGGTTAAGGGTTGTCCGCTTATTCCTAAGGAGGTAGGCTTGGATCTTCTGCGGGAGTACGAAGCTTTAGGGAAGGAAAAAGGTGGGATCAGGAGTTTGGGGCTGTGCCAACCTGAACAACATCTGGATCCTTCTGCTGCGAGGGTGTGGTTGCGGGAACGGTTGTTAGAAAGAGGGGATCAAGGGTTGACGGAGATTGACCAGGTGACCTTCTTATCGGCCTTGTGTCCTGCAGTTTCTGGAGAATTGATCTCGAAGGTTTGTGTGTCACCCTTAGGAGTAGGTCGCGCAGAGTGGGACCAGCTCCCTTGGAATAGGCGGAAACGCCGTTCCATAGCCCGAGCTAAGCCGGGAGAGGTGATGATTAGTTGTTCTAACAACCCTGGGAATTGGAAGGGGCAGGGACGTACGATTTCGGTACCTGGATCTGAGAAGGGTTTGGGATCGAGGGTAGTGTTTAGGCAGCTGCTCAAATGGGCTGAGTCGGGTGTGATCGGTGGTGTAGTTCAGGCTTTGGACTTGTCGAGGGCTGGGGGTAGCTTAGAGGATCCTGAGACGTACCGATGTTGGGAAACATTGCTTCGGATCTTGCTACTGTTCTCGGTGGCCCAGGCCGCAAAAGAATGCCATAGTCCTGACACCACTGCCTTGCCTTCCGATGAGTACCCGGAGAGGGAAGCTGTGGAAGAGTCGTCCCCAGCAGGGATTGAGGATCCTCATGAGCTCCTAGAGTGGGCCCTTAAGACGGCTGCAGCCAGGTTGGCTAAGGAGAGGGCCAAAGGAACGGATCCTTCGCCTCGCTCTCCGGGTACAGATGTTTTCCTTGCGTTTGAGTGGCCCTGTAAGGGTATGGTTTCGCAGGGTGCATGCCTTGGGGAGTGTGTGGTGTGGAAGGACGGTTTCAAGACTTGGAAGGAGGTGTATGGGCTCCACTTTGCTGAGTTTGATCAAGGTTGCTTAGGTTCCTGGGAAGATGGGGTTACGGGGTTGCTGACTTCGTCTTGGTTCTTGTTTGAGGCTTTACACAGGATTGGTTTTACTCGAGGAGTGCAACTTCGGGAAAGGAGTACGCGGGTTAAAGGAACAGGTTGGGCTTCGGGCCTTTGGTATGCGATCAAGTCTTCATGGAAGGCCTGGAAAGAAGAGGGCCTTCGTGCGGCAGAGATAGCGGAACGCCGTGTGCTGCTGTCAAAACTATCGGAAGCTGAATCGTATGCCCGGCACGTTGCCAACGATCATGTTCCTTTTAGGAAAGGGTGTCCTGTGTGTGTGGGCGCACAAGGAAGACGGCGTGCGCACTGGCGTACTTCTCACCCGGGGGTTCACTCGGCATCGTTTGATTTGGCAGGGCCGTTCTTGGATGGGTTGGGATATGATCCTGAGGCCTCGGGGAGGGACCGGGGGAGGGGTTATAGGTACTTTCTAGCCTGTTCGTATACGGTGCCTGAGCGGTATGGGCCGTTGTTGCCAAAGGATGCCGATTGCCCCGAATATGCACCCTCTGAACCGGGGGAGGTAATTGAGGAAGAACCTAGGGATATAGAGGATCTTGTGCTCTTCGGGGATCTGGAGGCGTTGCCAGAGACGGTAGGGGATTCTAGGATTCTGGTGAAGGTAGTTGATAGGCGGGTGCGAGGTAAGAAATCCGAATCTTCGCCCGTTGCAGTCGAACTGCCTCAAGCGGAGGACTCCGAGGTTCCTAAAGCTGTTGGGACGCGGACCTTGTTTTTGAGTACCCCTTTAAGGTCGAAGAAGGGGCGTGAGGTCATGCTTCAGGTTCAAGGGATCATTAATCGGTTGGAGTCCTCAGGCTTTCCAGTGCAAAGGTTTCACGCCGATAGGGCTAAGGAGCTGCGGTCGGCTTCTCTGCTGGGGTGGCTTAAGGAGATTGGAATACATCCGACCTGGACACCAGGAGATGCCCCAGCGGGTAATCGCGCTGAGCTTGCAGTCCAGAATCTCAAGGGTGGGGTTCGCAAGCTGCTCAATGTTTCTGGGTTGGCGCGTGAATGTTGGCCGTTGGCTCTTTTGCATGCTTCCAGTAGGAATTGGGTAACATTCCTTGAGCAGCTTGGGATCCCGCAGTCAGTGTTGCTACCTTTCGGTGTTAAGATACATGCCCGCAAGAGGTTTAAGACCGGGTACAAGGAGCAGTGGAGGTCTCGCACAGTAGCGGGTGTTTACCTTGGGATTGCACCGAATACCCCTGGGGGGCACTTGGTGTTGGTACCTGACGGGGGTGATAGGAAGGTCTTGCTGACGAGTACGGTTTATCCTCTTAGAGGTGAGAGTCTGGGTGAGCCTAAGAAACCTAAGTATAGGTTAGTCGGTAAGCGCTCCCCTGATTTCGCCGTTAGGGTCGTAGCTGCGATCGATTGCCGAAATGCGAAAGTCCTGGCAGCTGTGTCTGAGGCCAGGTTCTCACCTGGGGGGGAGTCCTCTCCAGTTTTTCCTCCTGTGCCGGAGCCCGGTTTCTTTTTCGAAATGGATCGGGATGGGGCTGAGGATGATGATTTGGAGGATGTTGCCCTCGGTGAGGGGTATTTCTGCGTAAGGCAGTTAGAGGCCGATTTGGATACAGAGGATGCGAGGCCTGACGAGGTACCAGAACTCCAGGAAGGATTGGATGAGCTAGTCGAAATTTCGGAGCTGGATTGTTTGAGTATGCTAAGGAGCGAAGTAGGGGAATTGCCAGTAGCTCGAAGACCTCTCCTAGGAAGGCAAGGAAGGGCTGTACTCTGTGGGTTGTATGGTGTAGGAGGGTTTCACGGGATTTCGAAGTTTTCAAGGAAGTCTCCTGCGCTAGTTAAGAGTCTGAATCGGTTCATGCGGAGCCAATGTGAAGGACAGGTCTGGACCACACTGTACTTATCCCACAATACCTTTATGCCCCTCCATCGGGATCTTAGGAATGCTTTGGGGTACCCGATTGTAGTTAGGGGTTTAGGTGACTTTGTAGGTGGGGGTCTGTGGATAGCCTCTACTGATGATAGCGGCCCCGTGGGTAAGAAGTTGCCTAATGGTAGTTTTAAGCCAGGGGCTGTTCATGATATTCATGCTCATGCGGTAGTCTTCTCGGGGGACCGGTGGCACACCTCGGAGAAGTGGGAAGGCGAGGATCGTTGGGTCATTTCTGCGTTTGTTCCGAGGGATTTTAAGAAGGCCACTTCAGAGGATTGGACTGAATTGAGGAGATTGGGTTTCCCTGTAGAGGGACTGGAAGAGGCTTCTAGGGTCCAAGTTTCTAGATTGGAGGGGTTAGAGGTTCCGGGGGAGCTAGGAGGTGACTTAAGTGATCCGTTTTCTGCCTGGGAAGTTGGACTTCCGTTGCCGATAGCCGGTGAAGACGACCGGGAGAGCTGGGTGTATCAGCATGCGTGTAATTCGCAGCTATGCCGGCTACTGTCTGAGGATCTTTACAATACCTCGATCCCGTTTGAAACGGCTGGGGATGTTGCTCTAGAATTGCACCGGGCCGAGGCTATGAATGATTGGCTGGAAGGTAGCCTCTGGGCTTGGCCTGATCCGACCGATGAGTGCTGTTCTCTTCGAGCTTTACAGACCGAGGTACCATTGAATCCAGGGAGTAGAGAAGGGGATCAGTTTTTGCAAACTCGGACAGTGGGTTTGGCAGAAGCGCGAAGGGAGTTGAACCTGTGGAAAGAACCTGCAGTAGAAGAGGTTGTTAGCTTAGAAGAGACTAACCGGGCAGTTGACAGGGTCAAAGCGAGTACAGTGGATGATTGGGTTGCTCAGGGTCTCACGGTGGTACAGTTGCCCGGAAAGGCGGTTTTAACTCGTAAGTCCGGTACCGGTAAAAGGAGATGTCGTGCCGTGTGTTGTGGTAACCATTTGCCTACTGATAAGCTTGGCCTAACGCGTGAAGAGCTGTACGCCTCAGGGGCCGAGTCTCTGTCGGTCAAGGTTGCAATAACCTATGCTGCAGGTCATGAGCATTGGACAGGGGTAACTATTGATGTAAAGTCTGCGTTTTTGTATGCCCCTATTCGGAGCGACATTAAGGGAACCGAGGAACGAATAATTGTAAAGCCTCCTTATCTATTGGTGGAACTTGGCGTTCTGCATAAGGATGATCGCTGGTGGATACGTAAAGCGCTATACGGGTTACCGACTTCTCCCCGTGACTGGGGACGTTACCGCGATGCCGAGTTCAGGGCATTCAGAATGACATGGCGCGGAAAGGAATACCAGCTGTTGCAGACCAAGACGGACGACGCCTTGTGGTTAGCCAGAGCGGTTCAGGAGGGGACCGTTGGACCTATAGAGGGAGTGCTTGTGGTGTACGTGGACGACCTTGCGTTTTTCGCTCCGGAAGGACTTGCGAAGGCGTTCATCTCGGCAGTTCAGTCGCGTTCGAAGACGTCTGAGCCCGCTTGGCTCGGGGAGGAGCCCGTTACGTTTTGCGGGATTGAACTTATTCTTCAAAGGACTGGATATCGCATGAGTCAGTGCGCATACATACGCGAACTATTACATCGGTATGATGTGAAGGATCAATCCGCGGTGCCAATGACCAAGTGGGTGGAACCGGAGCGGGCGGAGGCGCCGACGGTTGAGGAAGTAAGAGAGGCTCAAGCCTTGACTGGCGCGCTACTGTGGGTATCGACCCGAACTCGACCGGATCTATCCTACGTAGTTTCACGGTGCGGACAGCAAGCTACGAAAGCACCTAAGTGGTCCGTATCTCTGGGGAGGCAGGTCCTAGGGTATTTAAAGGGCACGCTCGGGCTTGGCATTGATGTTCCTTTTAAGGTGGGCAGCCCTTTCTCGGAACATGGACTCCTATCCGTTCCTCGTACCGAAGGTGTGATAGAGGTGTACACGGACGCGTCACACAGTCCTGGGGGTGATCGTTCAATGCAGTCCGTGTTTATATTGTGGAAAGGGGTCCCGGTTGCGTGGGAGGCCACACGGCAGCCTTTCACAACTTTGAGCAGTGCTGAGGCAGAGCTGGTATGCATGATACATGGTGTTCAGCTTGCCGAGTCTGTACAACCTTTAATCGACGAGATGCTAGAGCGGGATACGGTTATTGCGCTGTTAGGAGACAATGAAGCCTCGATCCGGTCGTTTGAAACGGCGGGATCGTCCTGGCGAAACCGTCACTTGCGAATGCGAGCAGTGTCAGGACGCGAGAGGGTGCAAGCAGGGCTCCTAAATGTAACGCACATACCGGGAGAGTTCCAAATAGCCGACATAGGGACAAAGCCGCTAACTAGGGCACGTATGATGCAGCTCTTAGAGTTAATTAATGTGCGTTTTCCAGTAGCTGCTTCTGGGGCCGCTAGCGTAGCCAGGGTTTTAAGCCGGGTGATGCTGCGAGATGAAATCTCGAGTAGTTCAAATGCCGAATTGTTGGCAGGTCTGGTCTTGTTGGCTATGATACCTGAAGTGGCGGGACAGCCTACGGCCGGACTGCCAGGGCTTGAGTATGAATGGCTACTTTGGCTAGGCGGTGTCCTGGTTTTGATTGCAAGTGTCGTTTGGGGCTGGGGTATGACCGTTGGTTTTGGTTTTCAGGGGCCTACCGGCAGTACCCCTGTGGCTGCTGAGGACACTTTGTCGGTTTCTTCAGGGAGCCAGGGGGTTGATCCTAGCCATGAGGTATTAGAAGGGCCTGCAGAAGGGGAGGATGACGACGAGTTTACCGAGGAGGAATGGGCAAGTGCGCAGCGGAAACTAAGGGATGAGGAGCTTAGAGTTGGTCTCACGTTCGTGCAAAGGGCCCGGCTGCGGAAGGCTATTTCCCGAGGAGGGGTAGTAGACCCCCCGACGTTTTTACAGAGGTATGGGCCTATGCCTTCATGGATTTCAGAGTCGGATACCTCACAGCCTTCATCAGCTGCGGTGCTGGGACCAAGGCTTGAGGGTTCAGAGCCTCAAGGCCATACAGATTCCAGTAGTCCTGGTGTTGAGGTTTCAGAGCTTCTAGGCGTAGGCCTAGAGCGGGCAGGGCACGACTGTTCGCGTCGTCACTTCCGGGGGAGTGCGACAGGCAGCCAAGCATCAGGGTCAGGCTACGTAGACGAGGCCAGGGCTTCCCCTAGACCTGATGTTCAGGTAGGTGGGAGCTCTGGGAGTGGTGAGAAGCCAGTACCGAAGGGGCTGACTTATGAAGATTTCTTTGAGGAAGGTGAAGGTTCCGGAGCTGCTGGGACTGATTTGCAGGGTTTGATGTTGCTCCAAGGTGAAAGGGTTTTATTTTTCCTAGGGGATGCTGCTAGGGAGTGGTTGGAACTTAGGGTGACATCGATTCTGGTGCGCGTGGCACTGGTTGAAGCTTTAGCGGCAGTGTGGCGTGCAGGTCCCAATGCGCTTATGTTTTCCGGGCCCCAGTGGCAAGCTGCTGTTGAGGACCACCTTCAAGTCAGAGCCGTTATTAATGCATCACGAGCCAGGGTAGCCGCTCAAGAAGCCTTTCCGTATGTCCCGTGGGGGCAGCAAAGGGTGCATTACCTTTGGAGGGTTTTGGATCTGAATGGTAGTGAGGTTTTAGCGTGCTTGGGGGATCGGGTACCTGAGTGGTGGTCGTTCAGGGTCACGTCTTCTGGGTTTATGACCTATGGGCTCTTTGCGGTGAGTAGTTGGCTTGAGGAAAGGAGGGGCAGAAATGGGGCCACTACGTCCGGGTTTGTTGATGCTGGAGAAGCGTATATGCAGTCTGAGCAGAGCGATTTTGAAGACGATCCCACCCTTGATGAGTTGCCGTTGAGACCGCGACAACTGCATGTCGATTTGCCGCCGGTTGTAGGATTCGGGGCATTCTTTGACGACTTGGAAGGTTCCTCGGAGGGAGAGTCTACGGGAGAGCCTTCGGTAGTTTCAGTGGTAAGTGCTGGTAGTGAGCCTGAAGCGGCCTTCCGAGAGGAAGAAGAGGAGACCTCTGGGGATAGATCCGAGCGGCTTGTTGGAGTAGGGGTTGTAAGCTACGAGGCTGCACTAGGAGGTCTAATTGTGTTTACTGGTGACGATCGTTTTGAGGTTCCACTGCCTGGCTGGTCTTTGAGTTCAGTTGAAGCTGTGGTTCAAGGACTCCAGACGGGAACATGGTCCAATTGGCAAGAAATCTTAGACTCGGCACCGCCGGCCGCTGACGATTCTGCACAGAGCAGTGTGTTGAAAGATGGCCCTGGCGATGGACTTCCGTATGTAAGAGGAGCCAGGGGTCTGAGGGCTAGGGTTTCTTGGGCGTTTTGGATTAGGGTTCTTGTGATTCTGTGGGCTTGGGTTGGGGTTGTTTCGGGTTCTGAGGTCTCGGCAGAGCTTAGAGATGCCCCGTTGGAAGTATATACCCCAGCCTGTCCCAGCTATGAGCTACAGGTTCGCTCGTACGCTGAAGGAATTGTGAAACCCTGGGATGAAGATTTTCAGTGCGACGGGTCGGTCCTGTGGGAGTTGTCTAAGGTGTGTTTGATCGTTGGTACCTGGGAACTTGCGAAGTTTCTTTGGCACCGCGCGAGGCGAGCCTGTGTCACTACGTGTAGCACCGCATGCCAGACCTGTGATCATAGCTTCGTCCCTCTTCCTCTCCCGGAGGGGATAAGGAGTAGAGCGAAGATATTGTTTTGTCTGTGGCGTGCGGGTTATGCTGTGGACTCAGAGCCCTACCCAGAGGATGTACAATGCGAGCTGTTTTGGTTGATCGGAGATCGCCTTAAGCGTCTAGAGGATGGTGAGGCCTCAGAAAGTGCCTCTTCTGAGTAGGGAGTTATGCCAATGACGGAGTCGTTCAAGGTCATAGCCAAAAGCCTTGAATTGGGATCTGATCGGGAGGTGAAAGGGCTTTAGATGAAAGGACCGTGTTTAAAGACCGATCTAGCTAAGACGGATTGGTTTAGGTCTAGGTGAGAGTCGTTCTTCTCGATCGGGGTGTAGAGGATGCTGAAGGTTCGTGTACCGAATCCCTCCGAAGGAGGCGACCCTGAATTCCAGGGGGTCGGAATAGAACCCAGCTTTTGTCCTACTAGTGATTTTAATCGAATGCGCTCGTCCGTTGGCTTAGCATAGGCTGGAGACATACTGTCCTGTTTTCCAAGGCACCCTGTCACCCTAGTTTTGGAAACTAGGGTGAGGGGGAGTGCGTGAACTTAGACATGTTGTCATCACACGAGGCACGACGAGTGGCATTCAGAAGAGGTGCGTACCGACAGGCTGTTTTTTGGCTGAAAAAAGGGTTGAACACGTCATCGAGGGACCCCTCCGGAATTGTGCTAAGTGTAGGCTTAGGTTCCGGTTGCTGTGGTTTTCTTGACCTTAGTTTGGAGCATTCTCTTGAATTACACGTATTTAGGGCTTAGGAACTGTAGGGCTCATGTAATGCTTTCGGAAACAGGCACTGGGTCAGCTGTCAAGCGCTGCTTCTATTTAAACGGTTTAGGGTTTAGGGTTTAGGGTCTCTTTAATATGAAGCCCTAGGCACTCTAGGAGATCTGCTTGAGTGGTCGTCGCCGACTGCTGCTCTGAACCCAGTGGCCTTTGAGAAGAAAAGCAAGATCAAAATGGAAGCCTTAATTTCCAACGCCCGGATTATAACAGAATGTTATGGTCTAGCATAGCATAGCATAGTAAGCCAAGTATTAGTAACCCTTGATAGCACATTAGTTCAAAATTCCTAAACCCTTCAACCTGCAGCCAAAGCCCGCAGTCCCATGCCGGTACACCCCAAGCAGCAAAAGCAAACGTTAACAACATGACTCGATGCGAAACCCCAACCCCGAACCTAATACCAAACTAAAAAACCGGCGCAGGTGAAACAGAACCTGAAACGCCGAGCCCTTAGGGCTGTAGGGTTGTAGGGTTTAGGATAGGGTTTAGGGTTTAGGATAGGATTTAGGGATTAGGGTGCTAGAGGCAGGCTTTGTGGGAGGGCCGAGGTTTTCCGGCTTCGGTTTCCAGGTTCAGGTGTCTATCGAGTCAGTGGAGCGCTTGAAAGTTCACGTCTTGCCTCTGGGCCGGTTTTTTTTTGCGAAATGGCCTTTCTAGGACTCAGCCTGGAGGTTGCGGGCCTGAGCACTGAATGTAGACTTAAACCCTAAACCCTAAACCCCTAAACCCGCTTGGAATGCAAGGTGCTTAGCCTTTATCCAGAATCAGTGAGCGTGGGAGTGAACCACCATCCCTTGTGCCCTGGGAGCCCAGAAACCACCTAGAGAGTCGTTTTCTGGGTTAGTCTATGTGCGTCTACGGAACAGTAACCCACCAGAAACGTGGCATAGGCATCAAAAAAGAATTTGATAAGGATCAAAAAAAATTTACCTAAGGATCAAAAAAAATTGACAAGGATCAAAAAAAATTTGCCCTCTGCGCCCAAGACCTCGCCTGGTGCTCGAGTCCTGACAGGCTC